TCACCTCTCACCCAGACTACCTTACCGGTCCCCACCCTCAAAGGCTCTCAGGCCCCCACCATTCTGACCTTCTCTCCATACACTATCTTCTACAATGCCATCGAATTTCTTCCAGAACAAAAGTATCTATTATGTGTGTTGTTCATTGCCTCTCTCTCCCCATCCCCACCACCATTACGTCCTTGTCTGTTTTCTTTGCTGATGTACTCCAAGCATGTGTTACAGTGCCTGGGACATAAGTGCTTCATAAATTTGTTGAAGGAAATCAAGTCATTTGTTCAGTCTCTTACTTCGAAAATGTATAGAAGCTCTATGCAAGTAACAGAGTTGAGTGGATACAAAAGGAACACGGTCAGTTTTCTACTCATATGTAGGTTATCATGTAGTAAGAAGAAAAGGACACATGTAAAGAACTCTAACACACACCAATGGGACTGAGTTCTGCAGGACTCAGGACATGAGAAATGCCAAAGAAAAACGCAGAGAGCATGTAGGGCTCAGAGGAAACCAAGGTTGCCTCTGACTAGAATGATTCCAGGTGGCTTTGTAGGTGAAGTATTTGAAGTGGACTTTGAAAGATGGGCGGTAGTTTGATAAGTAAACACAGAGAAAGAGCTATTGGAGGATAACAAACCACCTTGGAAGGCATGAAAGTGGCAAAAGAAAAGGACACTGTCATGTATTAATAATTTAATATGTATGTTAATAAGTTATAATTCTTTTAAAATGATAACCTTTATTTGGACTGTAAGGGTTTTGTAGGAAAGGAGAATTAAAGGTATTGAATTATCTCAAACATAGGAACAGAATGATAGTAGGCATGGTTTTCCTAGAGCATTCAGTGCTGAGCTAAGGAATTTGACTTGATTTAGCTGATAAGGATCCATTATGAGGTTTGGAGCAGGGTGTATAGGAAGGTGGATGGCATGATCATACTATGATCAAGCTCAGTAAGCTCCTTGAAGGCAGCAATTGTATCCTAGTTTTCTCTAGATCACCCTTGCCCACCACAGCTCCTGGCATATTAGTGGGCATCAGTAAATATTTGTATGTTTCAATCAGTGATTAGGGGGAAATTTTGTCAAAGAAACAAGTTGCGTTCTGGCAGCTGTAGGGAGGATGACTAGCAGGAAGAATGTGAAGAAAGCCCCAAAGTATGGATGGCTTCAATGAAAGGAAGGGTTGGGTACCAGTGACAGCATGGAGGAAAAAACCAACAGGATTCATACACTGGTTGGAGATGAGGGTTGAAAGTGGAGTGGACAACGAGTTCTCTCCTAAAACAATCTAAATCTACTTAACTCATAACATATTCATACCACAGGATTTTTAGTAGCGAAACCAGATTCAAAGATAAATGCAGTTTCCAAGGTGGATTTAGAAATGAACCTAATTAAAACAATCAACCATAGATTTTTTTTTTTAAGCAGAAACTACAGGTGATGTTTGAAAAATTAAGTATAATTGCAGGCATTCATCTGCTTATAAACTTCAGGCTTCTGGATGCTTGGATATGGCAGCAGAGAGGAAATGCTTGGGAAGCAGCAAAGTATGAACCCAGAGCCTAGGTCTTGAGCCTGGCAGACCTGTGTAAAGGCCTTTCTCAGTCACTCACTAGCTATGTGGCCTCCCTGAGAAACCAGAGTTTTTATAATCTCTGTGTGAATGATAAAAATATTCAGGGGTATGTGAGGTTTCAATGAAGACTTGAAAAGTGTCTGGCACAGAGTTGGTGGTTGATAAATGTTATCCTCCCTCCCTACACTGCCATTCTTTTCTTGCTCTCTGGGACCCACCAGGGTATCCCTACTCCACCATAATTCTTGGCAAAACATACTTCTGTGCATGATAACTCTTCCACAAAAAGGTGTGTTTGCAGTCATCTTCTCTACTATCTTTTATTCTGTGCAAGCTTCCCAGTCCACTCAATTTCTTTCCAATTCCATTGTGCGCGTCTCCAGATATGGTTTCGCTAGCAAATTTCCCAAGCAGCCTTTCATGCTGTCTTCAGGAAGATTACTAATGAAGATGTTAAGTCAGGCTGGCATAAATAACCGTGCTTAAGGCCATCTTCCAGACACTTTTGTTCCACTCAACAGGGATATGGTGTCATTTATCATTAGGTCTTGTTACAGTCTTCTGGTCCCTTGAAAAACTCATGGGAAGACACCCATGTCCACATCTACTTGAATTAGTCTGGCAAGTGAACTCATGAGCAACTGAATTAAATGTCATCACAGGATTGAACATCTGTTACGTCACACTAATCTATCACTCTCTGCTCTCATAAATCTTACAGTCAAAACAAATTAGTCTACCATGTTACTTCTAATCAATCTTTCTTTTGTTGTGTGTGGCTCATGCCGAAAAGGAGATAATAAGCCCATTGATAAAAATAACAAAATCCCAGCACTGCTTCAAACATGTGAGGAATATGAAATAATGACTCCTTGGCAATGATAGAAATCAACAGCAATACGGTGGCTTCTACAGAAGATGGGTGTAAGTGTCAGCCTCATGCAGCTCATCTCATAACAAAGTCCTGGAGAGAAATCAATGTGTGGTTTTAGAACCAAGACAAGTTGCAGCTTTCTTTAGTTTCTGTTTTTGTAACAGATTCTGGATTGTGTCGCTCACAGATATTCTCTCTCATTTGCTGAAAAAGTTTAGTATTCCATGGGTGACTCAGATATAGCAAGAGCATAAATAATGGGATGGTTTGCAGTTCCACTCTTGGATTTATTTAGTCTCCATATTATTTTCCTTGCTTCTTTCTCCTCACTTTCTTAAAATTATGGTAAAGTACACATAATATAAAATTTACTAGGCTAGATGCAGTGATGCACACCTGCAGTCCCAGCACTTTGGGAGGCCAAGGCAGGAGGATCGATTGAGCCCAGGAGTTCAAAACCAGCCTATGCAACATATTGAAAACTTGTCCCTACAAAAAATCCAAAAATTCACCAGGCATGTTGGTATGCATGTGTAATCCCAGTTACTCAGAAGTCTGAGGCAAAAAGATCATGCCCCTACACTCCATCCTGGATGACAAAGTGAGACTCTGAAAAAAACAAACAAACAAAATCTTTTTTTTTTTTGAGTTGGAGTCTCACTCTGTTGCCCTGCTGAGCTCCGGCGATCCTTCTGCCTCAGCCTTCCAAGTAGCCAGAATTACAGGCATGTGCTACCACGCCTGGCTGATTTTTTTGATTTATTGTAGAGATGAGGTCTTGCTGCCCAGGCGGGTCTCGAACCCACGGGCTCAGGCAATCCACTCACCTCAGCCTCCCAAAGGCGTGGGATTACAGGCTGAGCCACCAAGCCCAGCTAAACAAACAAAATCTTAACCATTTTGAAGTGTACAATTCAGTTGGTATTAAGTACATTTATAATGTTGCGCAACCACCACCACATTCATCTCTCGAACTCTTTTCATCTTGCAAAACTGAAACCCTGTATCATTAAACAATAATTCCCCATTCTTCTCTCCTCCCAGTCCCTGAAAACCACCATTCTACTTTCTGTCTCTATTATTATGACTACCCTAGGTACTTCAAGTAGGTAGAATCAAGCATACAGTATCTCTGAGTTTTGATGAATGCTATTGACTTAGACCATTTTCTGTTGCTTATAACAGAATATCTGATACTGGGTAATTTACAAGGAAACAAAATTTATTTCTGACAGTTATGGACACTGACAAGGACAAGGTCAAGGGTTCACATCTGGGAATAACCTTCTTGTTAATAGAGGCTCTGAGCAGAGTCCCAAAGCTGTGGAGGACATCACATGGCGAAGGAGCTAACATGCTCAAGTGCTAGCTCAAGTCTCTCTTCCTCTAAAGCCACCAGTTCCCCTCCCAGGACAGACCATGAATCCATGAATCCATTCATGAGGGAGAACCCTCATGATCCCATCACCTCTTAAAGGCCCCACCTCTCTATACTGCCACACTGCAGAGTAAGTCTCAACACGAGTTTTGGAGGGGACATTCGAATCATAACAGCTATTTTCTTGTTTTGTTTTGTTTTGTTTGGTAAGTTTATAGCTCCTCTTGAAACAAGATGGAGAACGAATAAATAAACAAATAAGAAAATAAAGCAAAAAGACTGCCCGGATTTAATAGGAGTTCGGTTCCATATGTATGAAGTCAGAGGTAAGGCCATAATGTTTGCTAATTAGAACAAAACACAATGGATTGTAAACCATCATTTAAATTGTTAAATAAAGGCTCAGATAATAAGCATATTTAAAATAACAGCAAGGTCAAAGGAAAGACTGCGCATAATTGAGGTTCCCACAAGGAGATAAGCATTAAGGTAATTGAACAAGGAAGCAATTGTAGATTCCAATCCATACACTTAATAAGCTAAATGCCAGTATACTGATCACCAAGGTGATTAGCAGAGCTGCCTCTGAGACAGGGGTTCTCAAACTTTAGAACTGCACAAGAATTCATCACCACAAGCCTATAAAATCAGGACCATAACAGCTAGACTCAAGAGTCTGCACGTATCACCAACCGTCCTGGTGGTTTGGACTTAGGAGGTTCCTTCAGTGTTGAGAAACAGTGGTCAGTGCAGTCAATTAGAGCAGAGGCTGTGAGGACTGCCTCTGTTCGGTTTGGGAGTATAATATTGGATTATGTTAAGACTATAGTGCCATGGTATCCATTCCTACCTATTTTTAACTACTTCACTTTCTTTCTTTGACATTCAGCATGGCCTGACAGCTCCCAAAAGCAGGGGCAGAGGCGGGAATGAATGATGCCAGAAATAGATCCTCACCTAACCCTGCAGTGTTGGATCAACATGGGCCCTGGTGCTCTCCTAATATCATCAGAGCCTTGAGAAGAGTCCTCATGGCTGTCTTGTGTTTCTTTTCTGGTCTGTTTCTGTGTCATCAGGTACCAACTGACTAGAGGGAAAATGCTGGCCTCCGTGGAAAGATCAGTATCTGGCTTCTCTCTCGTTTATAGCTTTTATTTTTGTTCTTTCTAGAATATGTCTGTGCTGGAGAATCACCACTGGCGATCTACAATTGGCATGCTTCGAGAATCAAGGCTTCTTGCTCACTTGCCAAAGGAAATGACGTAAGTGCTGCCGAGATGAAACTTACTGATGCGCACACAGTAAAGATAAGCCACTTTCTCTAGGACATGCTTGGGACCCCTTGCATGAACGGCGGAGAGCCAGCCGTCTGTGCTTCCTGCCTGCGCCGAGCTGTCTTTCAGAAGAGATTCAGTGTCAGTTACAGCAACCCAGAAACCAAAATCTCTCTGTGTGCTTTGAAAGGCCCTTGGATAGTCAACAACCTACAGTCAGGAAAAGGGATAATAAACAGCTCTCAGTTTTCACACTCTGCAGCACCGACACTCTGTGTTGCCAAATTCCCATCCTTTAAGTTAGCGAAATTGTCCTCCCATGTACATCCAAATAATAAATATTTGTCAAGAAGGAACACAGGAGTTCTCAAACTGGATTTAAAAATAGTCCAATAAAGTGTGTTTTGTAATTGCCAGTCTAACAAAAATAGAAGTCAGAATTATTATTTTTTTTTTTTTGCTTATTTCATTTGTTAAGTAATTTAATTGACCCCAGCAGTTTTTTCACCATTAGTTTACTATGTTTCCTGGTTCACTATTTGATAGCCCCCATATGTTGGCTGAATCCTACCAAATCTGAGGCTGTTGCCTCATTTTTTTCATGGCTCCAAGTTAGCTGCTGTGGTGTCTTCCAAGGCCACCACTAATTCCCATCTGTTTAATGAAAATATACAGAACCCAAAGGACCCAGGTCGAAGGAGTAAATAGGTCACTGTGCCCCTCCTAATGACAGGCACCTAACTAGAGGTCAAGGACCAAGTGGTGTCTCCCCATAATAGAACAAGCAGTCTGCTCTGCGGTTGTAGGTTGATTCCTGGCCCTCTGATACTATCTCATGCTGTTTCCTAGCACCCAGAGGAATGTGGAATTTGCAAGATGAACTTCAGTTCCATTAACTTTTAACCCCCTGGAACTAAATAAAACCAGTCCTTGTGCATGGAATAAAAACTTGTGCCTTTTCCTAGAATAATAAATTGCAGAGATTGAAAGAATTAAATGACAAAAGAACTAAAAACTAGGGCAAGAGGTCAAGTGAAAAGGAGAAGAGAAAAGAGAAGGTAAGTGGGAGAGATAGATTTTTTTTTTTTTTTTTTTAATGAGGAGGGAAGGAAGGATAGGGAGGACAGGAAAGAAGAAAATGCCAGGGGAAAGGGAGGAAAGGGCCCTCGGGTGACGAGCGTGTCCTCTTTCATATTTGCACTCATCCTGCTTGTCACGCAATTGATATCTGTTTCCTAAAATACTCCTTTCATCTCTATGCATTCCAAATAAAAATACCATTTTTTTTTTTTATTGGAGTCTCGCTCCGTCGCCCAGGCTGGTGTACAGTGGCATGCTCACAGCCACCCCAGCGTCCACCTGCTGGGCTCCGGCGATCCTTCCACCTCAGCCTTCCAAGTAGCCGGAACTACAGGTGCGCGCTAGCGCTACCATGCCCGGCTAATTTTCTGATTTATTGTAGAGATGAAGCCTCGCCAAGTTGCCCAGGCGGGTCTCGAACCCACGGGCTCAGGCAATCCCCTTGCCTCGGTCTCCCAAAGTGCTGGGATTACAGGCTTGAGCCACTATGCCCAGCCTATATTTTTATGTGTCTTTGTAGAACACAGAGTTATAAATTGCTTTTGCTAAAAGAATAGTTGTTATATAATAATATAAGTGAAAGGATTTTATAATAAAAGCTATTACCATAATCATTATTATTATTCCTTCTATCTTCATGTAAATGCTTTGATGTCATTTTTCTGATTTTTAAAGTAAGACAGGTTCATTGTAGAAACTAAGGAAACCTCAGAACAAAACTGGTTTGAACCATATGAAGTTATTGTTTTCAAAGGTCAAAAACAGTAGACTATCAACAATTTCATATGGTTCAACCTGATATGAAGACGAAAGCTGAAATTACTAGTAACCCTGCCACCCAGGAGTAGTTTATATTAATCTGGTTGGTACATTTTCTTTTAATTTTTTTTAAGATTAAAAATATATAGTTTATTTAAAAGGAAATTAGAGAGAGAAAGAGAAAGGAGAGAGAAGATTCACCTCCCCGAGGTGAGGGAGGGGCCCAAAGCCAGGAAGCATGGTAACAGCCATAGGTCAAAGAGCTCATGGCCACACCAGAGTCTAGCAAGGCAATAGCCCTAGTATTTTTTCAATGCAACCACATTTTAACAAAATGGAGAACTTAAATTTAACAGTTTATATCCTGATAGTTTTCTTTTACTACAAATACTTCTCCTAAATCATTAAACATGCTATTTAAATTACAATAATTTTATTGACCATATGACATTATGGTACCAAAAGATATGTAACTACTGCCTATCATTTGGAATTTCGGTGGTTTCCAAATTTTTTGTCATTGCACATAATGTTCAGCAAGCATTCTTAAACATGTATTTTTATCCTAAACTCTGAAACTCTATTTTCTCAGGAAATATTTGTGGACAAAAATTATTGGTCAGAAAGGTCTAAACTTTTAAGGTTCCTGTATATGATTAAACTGTTTTTCCAAACAGCTGTATCTACCTGTATTTCTATTGGTGGGGTATAAGAAAAGGTACCAATGTATCATCACCAAAATTGAGTTTTATCTTTATTATCTTTTTTAAATGTCTCCAAATTTGACATATATGTGTGAATGTATATAAATCTGTATGTATTTATAGAGGGGTTGTCATTAAATTAGTATATATCTTTTAACTATGACTAAGATTGAAATGTTGTTGTATATTTACTGTATATTGCTGTTTCTTTAGAAAACAAATTTTTATATTTAGTCCTTTCCTAATTTCCTGTCAGTGTTATTCATTTGTAAAAACTCTTTGTATATTAACTACAGTTACCATCTGTTATATGTTGTAAATATTACTTGAAACTTTTTTTTTTTTGAGTCAGAGTCTCACTGTCACCTAGGCTGGTATACAGTGGCATGATTTTGGCCACCACAGCCTATACCTGCTGGGCTCGGGCGATCTTCCCACCTCAGCCTTCCAAATAGCTGGGACTAAAGGCATGCACTATCCTACCTGGTTAACTTTTTTTGTTTATTGTAGAGACGAGGTCTTGCCATGTTGCCCAGGCTAATCTCGAACTCCTGAGCTCAGGCAATCCTCTTGCTTCGGTCTCTCAAAGTGCTGAGATTACAGGTGTGAGCCATCACATCCAGCCTATTACTTAAAACTTTTAGTGTGCCTTTTCATTTGATTCATAAAACATTTCACCTAACTAAAAGAGTTATATTTCCTGATTATAAATTTAACAAGAATTCATATTTTTGAAGAATTCATATATTGAGAAGTATTAAGAAGAAAATAAAAATCAATCATAATCCCACAATATAGCTTTCCAAATTATTTTCTATGACGTAGAGATCTTGTTTTACATGCTTTGTATCCTGCTATCTAATATAATAATAAGACATGACATTTCTCCATGTCAATAAATATGACTGTATTTCACCATAGTTAACAATGCATGGTATGAATATATCATGGTTTATTTAGCTCATCTCCTTAGAAATTTTTGTGATTTTCCCCCCAAAATGTTTCATTATTGTAAACAACAGGATAAACATCCTTGTAACATATATCTTTACTAATTGCATCTTTACTAGCATGTTAATATAAATGTGTAGATGAACTGTTATCAAATTACTTACATTCATCATATGCTTTTTGCATTGTCTTAAATTACTCCCCAGTAACACTATACTAATTTACATTCTTACAGAAAATGAGGGGAATCATTTTCCCTATACCATCAATAGTATTAGGGATTACAATCATTCATTAATTCAGCAAATTATTTAGCAGTTACTTTTAATCACCATCAATAAAAATGAGGGAAAGAGTATCACATAGATGATCTACTTTTCTTTTTGTTAAACTAAGAATATTTAACCACTTCATATTTGGGGAATATTTTCTATTTTTTGTTAATTGCCTATTTTATATAATTATTTTTAATATTCAGAAGTGGATTTTTAAAAGGTGAATATTGAAACCATAAAGCTTTTAGAATATAATGTAGAGAAACTTTTTCATCAGAGTTGGGAAGAATTTCTAAAAGAGGAGAAAAAACAAACCACAAATAGAAAGATGTATAGATTAAGTTATATTAAAAATTAAGATTTTATTTCATCAATAGACATCATAAAGAAAGCAAAAAACCAAAGAGAGAAGATATTTTTGACACCTCACTGACAAAAAAACTAGTATTTAACATATATAAAGAGCTCTTTGAATCAGTAAAAGAAAGGCAAACTAACAGAATGATAGTAAAAACTAGAATAGAAACTTCACAAAAGAAGAAGTACAGAGGCCAATAAACACATGAAAATATGAAGAATTTTAAAAAACACAAGAAAATATGCCCAACCTCATTAGTAATCAAGGGAATTCATATAAAAGCCACAATGAGCTGCATGACATACCAATCAGATTGGCAAAATATATAAAAAGTAGGACGCTGGAGGAAAGAGGATCTCATCTATGACTCCTGGGAGTGTAAAATTGTACCATCATTTTGGAAATAGTTGGCAATCTCTAGTAAATGGAAGTGATCTCAGGTAGATTGGATGATCACATTGTCATATATTCCCATAGTAGAATACAATCTAATAATCAAAATGGATGAACTACTGCCCTCACATTCCTCTTTTGATGAATTCCAAAAACATAATGTCAAGCCAAAAAAGTAAGTCACAGACTTACTTTATATACCATATAACTTGAAATCCAAAAGTGGCTAAAATTGAATAATTCTATTATTTAGACATGCACACACAGATGGTAAAATTGTAAGTAGCTAGGAAGTTATTAAACAAAGAGCAAGAAAGTGGTTACTTCAGGGCTGAAGGGGAGAGATGTGATGAGACAGCCATGGGGACCTTCTGGGGCACTGGCTGGCAATGTTCTCGTCTGGGTGGTAATTATAAGATGTTCGTTTTATATTTATTCCCTGAAGTATATATGAGTATATACGTTTTATGCAGCCTTCTAAATATACCTCATTTTTAAATGTGAATTTTAAAAGCAGTTATAGCTCTTTCCTTCCATGAATTACTTTCTATATGTTACTTAAAGTTCTAACTTGCTTTATTTTTCCAAAATATCCCATTTTCCCCATACCACTTGTTGACTAATATATCTCTTGCCCCACTGGCTTGAACAGTGTCGTATTCACTTTTTTTTTAAGTTCCAGTGTCTCTTTCTGGCCTGTGTACTGTGTTCCATTGATGAATCTTTCCATTCCATGGTACCATGGAATGCTTACCGTTACTTTCTTCATTATTATTGCTATTTCTATGCCCTTTTCACTCTATGAAAATCTTTTGGCTTCTTTGTGTGTTTGTTTGTATATAAGTCAGGGTCTCACTGTTGCCCAGGCTGGAGTGCAATGGAATGACCACAGTTCACCACAGCCTTGACCTCCTGGGCTAAGGCTATCTTTCTGCCTCAGGCTCCCAAGTAGCTAAAACATGGTGCATGCCACCAAGGCCTGGTTAATTTTTTTTTTTGTGCAACATGATCTTACTATGTTGCCCAGGCTGGTCTTGAACTCCTGGGCTCAAGCGATCCTCCCACCTTGGCCTCCCAAAGTGCATGCCCAGCATCTCCATGCAAATCTTAATGTTGGAACAAGTTTGAACTCCTTAAAGCACAACCCAAACTCCTATGATTCTGTAAGTCTTTTTGTGTCCTCCTTAAAGTATACACTTCTGTTTGGCTTTCAGTTTTCCACCCATAGGAATCATAGGAATGTATAAATGACCACAGCTTTGTTTACCCAAGGTTTCAGTCAATCACTGCATAACTCGTGGCATGTCTCCCATCCAAGGACAGAACTCCTGGTAGGTGAAAGATTTGCTCTTAGGCTGTGAGGGACTGGGACACCATGTAAGAACAGAATTAAAGGCAGAAATGAGATGCCAAGCCACCTGATGATGAGAGAATCAACCACCCTCCTCAAAGGGATTTGCATTGTGTGTGTGTTTTTCTGTTTCATTCTTGTGGATGCAGACAGGATATTGAACAGCAGCTGGGCTCCTTGATCTTGGCAACAGACATCAACAGGCAAAATGAATTTTTGACCAGATTGAAAGCTCACCTCCTCAATAAAGATTTAAGACTGGAGGATGCACACGACAGGCACTTTATGCTTCAGGTAAACAACAAGAACAAAGCCACTATGTTTTTGAGTAAAAATACTCAGGGACGTGATCAATAATTTTAGTACATTTAGAAAAAGTTACCTCCCATGGTGTAAGTTAGAGCAGTGACCTATTTTAGCAAAAGCTTTGAGATGCATAAAATTTATAAGTGGTTTCCAAGCAAGCAAAATCTGGGTTTCATGTCAGTAATTTGACGATATCTTATTTTTCCTTGTTAGTAACTGATTCACCACAGAGCGGCCCCATTGGATAGTTGCATGTAGTGAAGATCTACCACATTTTGTGGCTTGGTATAAAATTAACCACTGTAATACCTGTGCGATTTTAAATGACCCTTTCTGTAACACAAAAATATATTATGTTAACTATGGTACAAACAAAAATTTAAAACAAGTGACCTCCCTTCACCTAAAGCCTATTTAATCAGACCCTCCTTTACTTTCTTTTATAACCTACCCACCTATCTTCATCAGTGACTCAAACATATTTATCTAGTTTTAGTCTTACCCTTGTCATTAAGTATGCAATAAGTATGTTATTTTAAGTTGAGTTTAATTGAATTGATTTGAATTGAACTGAATCAAACTCAAACCTTTCTGCTTTCCTCCATGGCAAGAAGTCATGTGTCCTGTGAGAAATCACTTCGGGGCAGAGCAGACCTCACAAGTAAAAGCCTGACCTAGTATCCAAACCAGAGCCTTCTTCTTGATCTCCCATTTTCTCTTGTCTTCTTTCTTTCCTTTTGGTGCAAAAGACTGAATGAATGGACCCTGAACTCATCTAGAAAGACCAACTTTAACCAGAGAGGTGGAGCTGCACTCGGAGACTGAATTGTACCATCTTTTTTGTTCCAGGGGTTCACGCTGCCCTCTGTCGCTGTCCAAAATGGTCCACCCTTGCCAGAAAATACCCTACTCCCAGTTGTAGAATTATGACTCCATCCTTTCTCTTCCCAAACTAATCTTCTAGTCTTCGAGTGCCACAAAGATCAACCAAGTGTCTGATTTAAGTGACTCAAACCAAGTTGAGAATAGCTAAGAGATCTGGCCTTGAACATTAGGATTTCAAAAGGAAGGCTTGCTTAACTCAGATGAATCCTAAAGGCAGAGCCTGGAAGAGACTTCTGCCCCTCACCCACTCCATTCCCATTAACCGGGAAATAAATATAAACACCCAAATCTGCAGCTTGATATGATTCGAGGCTCTTCCAGACCCCAAGATCACTACCTGTTCTGTAATCCCAAGGAACTAGGTCAAAATAATGGACGTGAGTGGTAGCCAGGTATCTCAGCAGCAGTTGGTGGTTAAAAGGGAATTCTAAGGTCATCATCACTGACAAAAGCTGGCATCTCAGATCCAGATCAGAGAGAGGCAAGCCAAGAAGTCCCAAGTTTAGTTGTGCAAACAAAATACTCCTATGTTTGATATGACTTAGTTCCCCGGCTGACAGTCTGAGCTTACTTACACACACAGGCATGGCACATCAATGCCAACACACATAATTAAGGTGATGTATGGAGTTGGTCAATGTGGTCACTGTAAGAGTGAGATCCAGATGATCTCATTTGAGCCTGGCCAGGTCTCTGCACAGCCTCCGGGCCTGCGAGGAGTGGGTCAACAGAAGGAGCCAGGCCATGGCTTTCCTTGGCCTGTCCACCCAAGTCTCCTCCAGAAAGCTTCATGTGCTTGGACTGTGTCTCTTCTCTCCTTTGCACTGCTATAAAGTTGGCGTTCTGAATGAAGGCTTTGTGTAGTGGTGAATAAGTGCTGTTTCCTGAAGAGGTATGTCAGGGAGGCCTTCTGCAAATATGGGCCTGGTACCATGAGACAGACTGGTCGCTCAACAGCCCCTTTGGCTTGGGGTGCTTTTGAAACTGAAGGAGCACCCTCTGACCATCTCTCCCCACCCTGTCATTTATTTCTCAGATCGCCTTGAAGTGTGCTGACATTTGCAATCCTTGTAGAATCTGGGAGATGAGCAAGCAGTGGAGTGAAAGGGTTTGTGAAGAATTCTACAGGCAAGGTGAGTCGAGATCCAACAGCTGAGATTTCATTACCCCGGCTTTTTTCAGGCCTTTTTATGCTAATAAAACAGGAAATGGCTAATCTGTCATGATATATGTTCTTTCATCAACTCATATTATCCTAACCTTTCTCTTTAACTCTCTTACAAACCACCCAACCCTTTTTTTTTTTTTTTTTTTTTGGAAAACACTCAAAAATAAATAAGTCTCACTACAGAAACAGGTGATAATGAAAAATGAGCGAAAGTGGGACATATATATAATTCCTCTATGGATATAAGAATGTACGAAACAGTTTGATTTTTTACTTTGACCTTCACTTTAATGAGCTGAGTACAGCCTAAAGGCTAAATGCTGTTTGAGGTCAGTATTTTCCACTATGACAGAAGGACTCAGATACCTTTTGTATTCCTTCTTCTCGCTTTCTTAAACAAAGTTAATAATGAAATTGAGCACAGCTGACCAAAAATTGAGTTCATCCTTTCAAATATAACTTCAACAGGGAGGTAGAAGAATTTTGCTGTAAAAAGACAATTGCCCTGAATTGGGGTATGATTTTTAAAAGGTTAACCTTATTCAGAAATAAGGCAATGAATTAGTCAGCAGGATCTTAACGTTGGGTGGGATATCGACTTTTAAACACAGCCTTGTTTCTTCAGGCTTGGTTTCAATGTTCAGGATGTTTGTTCAGGCATCAGCAATGCCCTCATGCTAGTGACAGGATCAGGTTTGAGAGGCTGAGAACAAATAAAGCTTGAAGTGTCCCACATACCAGCTCTATGGGGAGGTCAAATAGCAACAATGAGCCTTTTGGAAGAGCCTCCATTGAAAGATGTGTCAATGATACTGCAATGGCCCCAAAGACAGAATTGATTGAGTTTATGTGGGGCCAGAAGGCTCGCTCACCGTCTCTTTCTTTCAGAATCAAAGTGCTCACGTAACTACTGCAACTCTGTAATTTCACTTGAATTGAGTGTGAGTGGTTAGAAATCAAAAGATCGGTTCTAGTTGCTCATGATATCAAATCTGCACTGAGGGCAAAACAAAAGAAAATATGAAAAACTTGGAGCATGAAAGTTTTAGATTAGATATGATAAATACTTTTTTCACTGTGTGATCTATAAAACATTTAACTAGCTCACTGAGAAAGAGAGTAGGATTGCCATCCTGGGAAATCAAACAATCAGACAGAGAAAGATCCTATTCTAACCCACTCGGATGGGATTCAGTCATGTGCTTCTGCTACTATGAATTACAGTTTAAACCCTCGATTTGCTCATCATGCACCTTCATTTGGATTCTGAGCAACTTAGGGCAGGATCGTGTCAGTTGGGCACATAAAGTTAGTAAAGCAAAGTTGTTAACTAAGGAGAATCAATAAACCACAAAAGTTAACCTGTAAGATCTCCTTGTAAAACCTGATTGTTTTCCTAATATACGCACATACAGCATTCTAAGATAGAAGAGACTAGAACAGGCCAGGCATAGTGTCTCCATAGTGTAATTCCAGCACTTCGGGAGGCCGAGGTGAGGGGATTGCCTGAGCCCAGGGGTTCGAGAACAGCCTGGGCAACTTGGCAAGACCTCATCTCTACAATAAAAATTTTTAAAAATTAGCCGAGCATAGTAGCGCATACCTGTAGTTCCAACTACTTGGAAGGCTGAGGTGGAAGGATCCTATGAGCCCAGCAGGTCAACGCTGGGGTGGTCATGAGCATGCCATTGCACTCCAACCTGAGCAACGGAGTGAGACTCCAACTCAAAAAAAAAAAGAGAGAGAGCGACTAGAACATCCATAACTCAGATCCCTAAGGGTGAGCTTCCATGTGCTTTGCTCTGGCATGTCTCCTGGCAGAGGGAGGAGAATGAAGAGGTCAATTCCGGTCCTTTTTAATGGTCTAGTAGAAGTTCTGCCTGTTTTAAGAGGAAAAGAATAGACTCTCTGGTCGTCCAAACTGCCTGTCCTCCCTACTAAATTATTTTATAAAATTATGTGAAGATGACATGTATCATTTTGATTAATCTTACTCTGACTTTCAGTTTTGGATTTGGACTCAAAGCCTAGCTCATTCCAGTCTGCTTCTGGCAGGCAGGCTTCCACAGGTGGCAAGCAGTTCTGGACAAAGTATCTTTAATATAATTGATGATGTCGAACAAAAGAAAACCCTTAAATCAAAGTGAAGGACATAGGGGAAAAGAAAGTAAGATCCCATGAATTAGAAAAACTATTATACTCTCAGGACAGAGATTAAGATTCCAAACCCCAGCCGGGCTCGGTGGCTCAGCCTATAATCCCGCGCCTTTGGGAGGCTGAGGTGAGTGGATTGCCTGAGTCCGCGGGTTCGAGACCCGCCTGGGCAGCGAGACCTCATCTCTACAATAAATCAGAAAATCAGCCGGGCGTGGTAGCACATGCCTGTAATTCCGGCTACTTGGAAGGGTGAGGCGGAAGGATCGCCGGAGCCCAGCAGGTCGAGGCTGCGGTGGCCGGAAGCAGCCACTGCCCTCCAGTCTGGGCGACAGAGTGAGACTCCAACTCAAAAAAAAAAAAAAGATTCCAAACCCCATACACCTCCAAAACCTTTGAAAAGCAGAATTTCTGTTCTCTTGTGACTACAGATTGATATCATCCCTATCAAACTACTTTTCCAAGAAGCTTTTATTGAACATCTTCTTCCAGCCTTGTCTAATCTGCAGCAAAACTGTGATTTTCCTATATACAAAGCCCCACTGGGAATGTTGTGACGGATACATAGAAGTATAGTTAGCTATGCTTCGTACTCTCAAAACACTAATCAGTAAAGTTTCTGGAGGAAAGAAACTATGCCGTTTTCCTCTTTGTATTCACTATGTCAATTAGCAAAGTGTCTGAAATATTCAAGTGCTTTACAGATGTCTGTTGAAGAAGTGAATGAATAAATGACCTAATTGGAAGACCTCTAATGATAGCGGTCATAGGTGAAGATTCAGTGCTGAGCTCAGTGTTGAGAGATGTGTACTGTTCTATACTTCCCAATATGGCAGCCATGAGCACATGTGGCTAGTTCAATTTTACGTTAATTACAATTTAATAAAATAAACATTTTAGTTCCTCTGTTTATTGATAATATTTCAAGAGGCTGTCATAGTGGGCCGTGCAGAGAACCTCTCCATCATTGCAGAAAGTTCTACTGGACAGTGCTGGTCTAGATAGAAGGGAATAGGAAACACTGAGGTAGGGATACACACCCTGCCTTATAGCTCAGCTCGATCTCATTGGATGAGAAGAGGATTGTGGAGGTCCTTAGATGCCAGGCTAAAACAGAGAACATAGCAGTGGGAGCCATCTTAGTGTGTTTAGGACAACATGTGCAGCTGACGTGGAAGAAAAACTGGAGGAAGAAAACCAGCTAAGAGCAAAAATTAAGAATTAGTTACTAAGAAATCAGACCAGGGTCAAGCAGTGACAGCTCACACTTGTAATCCCAGTGCTTTGGGAAACTGAGGCAGGTGAATCCCATGAGGTTAGGAGTTTGAAACCAACCTGGAAAATATAGAAAGACCCATCTCTACAAAAAATAAATGAAATTTTAAAAAATTAACTGGTCATGATGGCACGTACCTACAGTCCTAGCTAGTCAGGCAGGAGGATCCCTAGAGCCCAGGATTTTGAGGTTATGATGAGCTATGATTGTGCTATTACACTCCAGCCTGGGCAACACAGTGAGACCCTAGCTCCAAAAAAAAGAAAAAAATTTTAGAAAGAAATTAACATATATAAAATGCTTACAGCAGTAACTGACACACAGTGAGCTCTATATAAATATTACACTTTTATCTCTTCTAGTTTAGGAAATCGATTCACAACTGTGAACCTAGCTAACGTGTCCTACAACCAGCTTCTCCAATGATTAACCAGATTGTTTTTCCCAAAACAAAAATCACCCACAACTTTATACCGTCAGGAAAGACTGATAAAGGATTTCAGTCAAGTTTTGCATGATGCAAATTCTCCTTTGGTCTTCTAGCTGGTAAAGGCATCAAAAAGAAATATCAACCTGGTGGCCGCCTTAGGCGAGGGAGTAAGATGGTGGCCTCCATCTTTGCCGGTGCCGTGAGAGCAGCTTCAGCCGGAGTCTCACTGTTGGCCAGGTTGGAGTGCAGTGGCACGCTCACAGCCACCATGGTCTCTACCTGCTGGGCTTGGGCGATCCTGCTGCCTCTTCAGCCTTCCAAGTAGCTGGAACCACAGGTGTCTTTTGGTCCCTGAATATTTTGGCATCTTCAGCCTAGCGAAACTGTGCCAAGAATAAGAGAACCTCTGCATTGTCCACTGGACACTTTAGTCATATGCAGAGACTAGTTGTTTCCTCTGCTCCTAAACTCATTACATCTGTCAGAAACCTGACATCTGGTTGTACTGCAACAATCCTTAATAGAGTGGCCCCCTTGTTTCCAAATGTCCTGAAGCTGCCAGTCAGAACAGTAACATACTTCAGTTCACAAAAAGGCAAGAGAAAGACTGTGAAAGCTGTCATCTATAGGTTTCTTCGACATCATTCTGGTCTTTGGCTAAAGAGAAAGGCTGGTTATAAGAAAAAATTATAGAAAAAGACACATGCAAGGAAAAGACACTTGAAGGAATTTGTGTTCTGCAATAAAACCCAGAGTAAACTCTTAGATAAAATGACATCTTTCTTTTTTTTTTTTTGAGTTGGAGTCTCACTCTGTCACCTCAGCCTTCCAAGTAGCCGGAATTACAGGCACGCGCTACCACTCCCGGCTGATTTTTTGATTTATGGTAAAGATGAGGTCTCGCCAAGTTGCCCGGGCGGGTCTTGAACCCACGGGCTCAGGCAATCCACTCACCTCAGCCTCCCAAAGGCGCGGGATTACAGGCTGAGCCACCGAGCCCGGCTATGAAGACATCTTTCTAGAGGTGAAACTGGTATGCTGATGATCCTTATCTCAAGTATCACAATCGAACCAACCTGAAAGTATGGATCAGAAGTTTTATGGCTTCCCAGTTACTGAATATGTATCTTTGCCTACATGATGGCTTTGTAAAAATAAATATGTATAAAACTTGAAAACAAAAGAAATATCATTCTGACCTTTATACTTTTTTTAAACTTCAGTTACGTTAGCTAAAATTCTGAGGGATCAGGCTGAGAGATACTGGGCCCTTACTTCTGACTAATTTTGTAGCTACGGACTGTGATGCTGCTCAAATGAAATCTTTCAGTCTTTCCACCCCATCTCCTACCAACTCATTATTCCTGGTTGTCCTCAGGTGAAACCAGACCAGGGTCAGGGAAGAAAGAAAAAGAGAAATAAAACCTGAAAGTGAAGAAAGGAAAAGAGAAATAAAACCTGTTTTCTTGACCTATCATTTAAAGCCAGAACTTCCATTTCATGCTAGGAAATTCACCATTAGTTGTTGTCTTGTTTTTATAGATCTTGTTCAGAAGTTTACTCTAGTCCCAGAGCACACCTATTTACAATGAACCTATTAGAAATGGTCACTGACACTCTATTATTTTAAATTTTTATGGAAGCTACTATAATAAGGCAGAACAAGTCGGTGCTAAAGAGTTTCTAATGATAACAAGGCAGGGAACAGTAATTCCCAGAATAACTTCTTCCAATTGAGTCATTAAAACTATTAATACTCTTTTATAAATTCTAGATTACCAATGTGTCTCTTTTTCCTTCTTCTTAGGTGAACTTGAACAGAAATTTGAACTGGAAATCAGTCCTCTTTGTAATCAACAGAAAGATTCAATCCCTAGTATACAAATTGGTGAGTTGAAGTCAATGTCCATTTTAAATAATAGCTTTTGCACCTCTGACCGAAGTCACAAAGAAAGGAAGAGCTACACACAGCTCTCGAAAAATCAGCATCGAGGGTTTAGTCAGTGTCCCCGGCATGGCGCAGTGGCTCATGCCTATAATCACAGCACTTTGAAAGGCTGAGTTGGGGGATCATTTGAGGCCCGGAGTTTGGGATCAAGCTTAAGCAACATAGCAAGACCCCTTCTCTATTAAAACAAATAATATTTAAAACATTTAAAGTAAAAAAAAAAATGTCCCTTTGAATGACTGGGTCTAAATAAACACTTTAATCATGACTTCTCTACTAGATAATTATAATTCTAGAATAAAAGCTTTTTTAATAGACCCTTAATTAGCCTGAATTAACTATGGTTTATAATAGAACTAAAACTAAATAGAGTAGAAGGAAAATATTTTTTTCTGTAAAAGAATCAACTGTCTACATTCTCTCCAGGCCTTGAAGGTGGGAAGTCAGCAGAATTGGCCCTTAGGATTCTTCCAATTTTGATCACTACCCCTCATCCCTGACACTTGTTCCCAGGGGTATGGTCCCCAGGCCTCGGGCCTTGGAGCCATGCTATCCCACTGGGCCTAGGGTCACATGTTTCACAACTTCCTGCTTCAACACTTATTTTCAGGCTCATTCTCTTAAACCACACTTTCTTTCAACTGTCAATTGTGGTAAACTATTAAAGTGTGATAACAATGCATCCACAATAATTACTACTTTATCTAATTGAGATATGCATAAGACCATCGAGCAAATTAGACCAAGGAAATTTTAGGCACTTTAGTGGAGGAAATACTTTTGCTCCGGTAAGAGTTTCTATCATACCTCCCAACACTCCACCAATTCCATCTACATTTATTTATTTATTTTGTTTGTTTGTTTGTTTATTTGTTTGTTTTTTGAGTTGGAGTCTCACTCTGTCGCCCAGACCGGAGTGCGGTGGCACGCTCCCGGCCACTGCAGCCTCGACCTGCTGGGCTCCAGCGATCCTTCCCCTTCAGCCTTCCAAGTACCCGGAACTACAGGCGCACACTACCACACCCGCCTAATTTTTGATTTATTGTAGAGATGAGGTCTCACCTAGTTGCCTGGGCAGGTCTCAAACCCGCGGGCTCAGGCAATCCACTCGCCTCGGTCTCCCAAAGCACTGAGATTACAGGCTGAGCCGCCAAGCCCGGCCTCTATCTACATTTAAAGTAAGCCTTTCTTTTCCTTGCAGTTCCCTGCCGTTGAAAGCAAGCTCAGAACTTTTAACTCTTTTCCTTATAAACTCTAACCTTCACATATACCAGTTCGCATTTTTTACCTAGTCCCACAGACCTTAGACAGCTGAATGTATTCACGGTCCTACAGGCCTCTGCAAGGCTCAAGTTTTAATGTCTTGACATTGGAAGGGAAGGGGCATCTGAAAAGATAAGCTGAAAAGTAAGAAAACCAGAACAAGTTAGAATGAGATGCTTACAATCAGTGAGGGTCAAATCTAACCCACAATCTCAACAAAAGAGCAATGAAATCCTCCCCAGAAAATAGGATTGAAATAAATCTAGCTACAAAGATGTGAATGCAATATGCAAATATTAAAATTATGAGATTATTGGGCATTCACTTTTTTCCAATTTGTCCTTAATATTGTTCTGTTGTTTTCATAATTAAACTGATTCCCCCACCCCAAAATAGGGGATAATGGGTATAAAAATAGAACTCAGGGCAAATGATGATTCAGAATCGTAGGGGCATTAACAACAGAGATACAGCCTCAGCCTCCTGGGATCCAGTTCTCTTCTGCCTGTTGCTTTAGCCGTGAACGTTCTGCAGATGTAATTCAAAATTAGACACTGACCAAAGTCCTAATCGTGAGACTCAATGTGTTCCGCTCTGGCTAGAAAGAAATGTTGCCACCAACTGTTAATGACATCTTGAACCTTGCCCCCAAAAAACAAAAGGACTCACATTGTGAAGCACATAACCTGGATTCCATGCAAAACAGGTCTGATCTCAGAATGTCTGTCCTGTTGTTGTCATGAGAACACACTGATTTTGTCAGATCATAGGTCCTGATTCACAGCTCAGGAAAATGTGGTTACCATAGATACCTCTTTTTAAAGGGGGATGCGGGTTGCGGGAACAGGGAAATCCCATGGAAACCACACCAGCACAGTCATAATAAAGAGAAGGAAGGTGATTGTAAACCAACTCTAGGTACATAAGTCTTTCTCTGTCTCCATTCTACATCTGCAGCTCTTAAAGGTTTGGGCTCCGGAGGTGTGGTGGCAGGGATAGATCAGGCTAAGCTTAGAGACCCCAAAGAGATCAACAGGACTTGATGGATGCTGCAAGCTCTAGTCCCCCAGATAATAATTTTTTCAGTGGGTCCCAAGTAAGGCAGCAGTTTCCTCTGTCCTTAATCCCCTCTGACTGAAAATGTTCCCTCTCTTTTCCCTATCTCAATCCAAAATAAGAATTTTTCTGAGTGCCGGTCTCAAGCTCAGATCTGATTTTCTGTTTTAAGTAATTCATGTTTACACAAGTGGAAATGGGGTCTTAATAGCCTCTTCTCCCTTCTCGCCTCTCTTCACCAAATTCTGCATTTTAAAAGGAACAAATTGAATCGAATGGATCTCTAACAGGTGAAATCTATGGAAAGCTGAAGAGAAAGAAATTTCCTTCAGTCCTCACCTGCTCTGAGGCTACCATGCCTCATTTCCTGGCCCCCACCCCTCCAGAAGGACAGTACCCAGCAAAGTCAGTTCAACCCCCGAGAAGAGAAAGACTGGCACAGCACACTGAGTGAACAGGCTCCCAAATCTGACCATCCAGGAGGCTTTCTTTATTTGAACAACTGCCTCGCAGCATCTATTCGACTTTAAAATCACTTTCCTAGGCAGGGCACGGTGACTCTGCCTATAATCCCAGCACTTTGGGAGGCTAAGGTAGGAGGATTACTTGAGCCCAGGAATTTGAGACCAGCCTGAGCAACATAACAAGACCTTGTCTCTACAAAAAAAAATAAAAAAAGAATTAGCTGGGTGTGGTGGCGCATGCCTGTAGTCCCAGGGAGGCTGAGGCAGGAGGATCACTTGAGCTTAAGGGGTCAAGGCTTCAGTGAACCATGATCACGCCACTGCACTCCAGCCCGGGCCACAGAGCGAGATCCTGACAAATAAAAATAAAAAAATAACTTTTCCTAAGTAGCATAAGAAGACTTTACATCTGAAGAGTACAAATACAGCTGTACAATTCCAGGGTAACTTTAGGGGGAAAAAATGAGGGTTTTTTTCCCCTTGGTGTTGAATTTTAAAATGTTGGATTTGTAACCTTTTTATCCTTAGGTAAACCCAATAAATTTTCACACCTTGAGCTTTAGAATAATATAATTTTGTCACCTATCTTTTGAGATAGCTAATCTCCTTTAAGGTAACTTACATTAGAAATTAGATATGAAGATTGCGAAGGAGATAAAGAAAATTCAATAATTTTTTTCTTTAAGCAAGCAAACTGTGAAATCCTTATTTGCTGACTCCTTATATAACCTTCTCAAAATGTCAAATCCAGACATAAAGTCACTGGCTTAATTTTCCTGCTTGGATTCAGGTTCTCTAAAATGATCTCATAATATTGAAATCATATTTCACATAAGATAAGACAATGCAGAAATGTACAATAGCATTGCATTGTTCCATCTCTGTAGTATCCTCAAAGGCCAAGTGTCTGCTGTCTGTCTAACAAAAAGATAATCGGCTCAAGCCTTATACTCCATATGCCTATAAACACACAGGGTTAGTTGCTGGAAATTTTTGTTATGTTGAAAAACATTGGCCTTTCTCTTCACATCTACATTACAAGGAAATACAATAAAACCTAAATACGTCCAAGTCTGTGATGATTCCAACAATTCTGGCCTAGACCAAAAGTTACCTTTGCTTAACAAATCATGTTTAATATGGAAAGCACAATAACAGCAAAACATGATTAGAAGGTAACAAATCTTAAATATTTAAAGAGAACACACATGCAAATAAACAGTCTAATATCAAACAATCTTATCCGGTCACTAAGGTAGGACTTTTATGCAGGTAAAAATCTGTATTGAAAATGAACAAACTTTACTTAAACTTAGTTGTTTTAGCAGTAGTTCAAAGCAAGGCAAGACAATAAAATGATAATCTTGAAAAAGTAACCTACAGGTAAGTGGCCGAATTCTTCAGGTGGTCAGAATTAGTGAGGTGTTCCTTCCTGATGTCATCTGCCCTTTCCTCCCCTCCCCTACCTGCCTTTCTTAGTTTCAATACCGACTTTTAAAAACTTGTTTATTTATATGTCTTTCTCCCTCTGCAAATAAGAATAGCCTCTAGTTATTGGGAGGAGATATGCCAGGAGATTTTTTTTTAAAGATGTGGGATACAATTCAGGGCTAGGTATACAGATATTTATTATGCAGGTACCCTTGTTGATGAGGTGTGCCCCCACCTCCCCTGGCGGTTTCCCACTACGTGCCAGGAGATTTCTAAGCATTTTACATGTGTTAAGTTATTTAATGATCATAACAATCCTACGGGTTTGGTACCCTCTTTAGCTCCTTTTTACAACCAAGGAAACTGAGGCACAGAGAGGTTAAGGGACAAGCCCGAAGCGGCATAGCTTCTGCTCCTGGACTGAAGACCATATCTGGTTTGCCTTCATATCCCCGGAGCCAAGTACACAGTGGGTCCCCCGCGGTGTCAGTGAGGGCGAAAGAAGTGGATCTGACTGCCTTTTGGTGATGAGCATGGCCTTCCCTGTTCCAGGTTTCATGACCTACATCGTGGAGCCGCTGTTCCGGGAATGGGCCCACTTCACCGGAAGCAGCCCTCTGTCTGAGAACATGCTAAGCCACCTCGCACACAACAAAGCCCAGTGGAAGAGCCTACTGCCCAAGCAGCACAGAAGCAGGGGCGGTAGTGGCAGCTGCCCCGACCACGACCCTGCAGGCCACAAGACTGAGAACGAGGAGCAGACTGTGACAGAAGGCGACACCGCGTAGCACCTGGCCTGGCCCGTGCCCTGCTCTGAGTCACTGAGAGGAAGGGCCTGCATGAGCAACACCTCCAGAGAGGGCCCAAGCTCTGAGGGAGCTCTTGCCAGTCACCCCAGCCGCCCCCTGGGTTTTGTCCTGGGGCTCTTTGGAATGCCACCCTCCTCCCACGTACCTGCCTCCCCGCCTTTGTGCAAGTGTACAGAAGCCATTTGTCACCTCAGCATTTGCTGCCGAAATGAGCGACTCCCTTCAGTGACGTGGGAGCCAATGCCACAGGCAGGCTCACCCCCTACCCCCCACCCCAGGAGAAGACTTGGAGTAAGAAAGAGGTGCTTCTGCCTGTCCCCCCATGACCCTCGGTCACACTGTGACAGGCAGCAGTTCCCAAGTCCAGAAGCATGTGAGCGTTTGCCATCTGACTGCTGATCTGTGTGACAAAAACACCAGCATATTTGGAACTCCAAGGAGATTGGTCTTAAGGGCCAGAGCACAATGAGAGCATGACAGAAAGTACCTTCTATTTTAATAATAATTATTATTGTAAAAATAATAATAAATCTTTTTAACTTTTCTATTTTATGCACTAGACAATGGATCTAAAACTTTGGGCTAAGAATTACTCAATGTACCCAAACTTGAACAGGGGGTTCATTGATTTGTTACGGACTTTATGCCACCTTGAGGCAGAGATTTGGCATCTTCTCAATTTAAGAAATCACATTTCCTATCCGATCTGAGGGGAAGGTGCTGTAGAGTTCGTTCCTTTGCACCATCAGCCAATCTGTCTTTGACGGATTCCGTGACGTGTTTATATTCACCCATGTACATTTTCTGTAAATACCAAGCGCTACTGATTCCCATGCCAAAATACATGAGTATTATGGGATTGCTACCTGTATAAACAATGGCACTGTGAACAGAATACTGTTAGTTTTAATACAAGAGAATGCATTTGTAAATATGGTATAGAGTTTATTAATATACTGTTGTTTGCAGATAAAGGCCTTAACTTTAAACATCTTTCATCTTCTGAAAGCTGCCCAATTTAAATCCTCACAGATTGTCTTTCTGAACTGCCTTCCCATGCCTGTCTCTATGTTTTCCAGCTAAGGTCACAAACCAAAACTGAATAAAGTCTTTGAGGAAACCTTTCAGAAACTTCGCAGGCATTCCGCTTGAGACCATAGTGTTTCATCTATGGCACCAAGCATCGTTTCCTCAGATACATGAGACCCTTCAACAAGCCTGAATCAGTCACTCTTCAACGCAGCGATGTTTTCACAAGCCAGCTGATAAGCCTATGTTTATGTGACTCTTGTTATGGAACATGGCGATGCATCAGCTTCACAGGAGACATAGCAGGTCTCAAAAACCTCTTATGACCCTGTCATCTAAGCATCAGGGAATTTCCCCGCTCCCATGTCACACATTTGTCTGTTATGGCTACAGTACCAAAGTACTTTTGGTTTATGGTTGGCGTGCATTTCTTTGGTGTTAATAGTAACTGGATTTTTCTTTTCCCTTAATTTCAAGTGAACAACTACTCAACTGTTTAGCTGAAGTTCATATTATTTAAGTCAAGGAAAGATTTCAGTTTTATGACACACTTTACCTTCCTGGCAGGTCATCGTTGTTAATTATGGTTCTAGCTAGCAGTGTCACCTTGGAATTTTGCTACCCTTTTTTTCTACAGACACTTGGCCGTAAAAACAGTCTGTTAACAGCATTCTTCTCCAGGCTGCTAAACGCTGTGCACTGAACCCTTTCGTTACAAGTTTTAGCATAATTAATGTTAGATGAAAATTGTTGGTACCCCTTTCTTCTTGGCTTTAACAGTATGGTAGTGGGAGAGTGGCTGTTTCTGCCATTATCAAGCTGTTTCTCAAGCTGATAAAATGACAGCTAGCTCTCACTTCCTGAGTGCAACTGGTTGGGAGTTTTTTCTCCTGACATGCAAATGAAATGTTAGAAACTTGACTGGCCTATAATAAGTTCCTGCAGGGAGGCTGGGGCTTGCAGAGTTAAGGCTTCCGGTAAATTTTGGCAAGTTGGTTATATTTTCATTAAAGTAGGAGAGATTGTCAGATGGTGCTAAAGAAAGTGTGAAGACCTTATGAAGTGAGTGAATGGTAAGTTGAAACTATTGATATGGGGAAGAAAGGAGGTTGTGGAGAATTAACACCAACTGTTTTTTCTGTAATATCTATGAGTTGACATATGTCTCTTTATCGCCTTAGCATTCTGAGGCTCTCAGCTTGGGGAGACCCCAAAAGAGAATATGTTGGTTGTATTCCTGTTTCCAAACCTCCCTTACTTAGGTTTGATGGTACAGAGAGGGTTTTTGAGTAGTCTGTTTTTAATGGCTATGGGATCAAATCAAGGAAAGCAACTTTTGAGGACAAGAAAGTAGAGATAGGAAAGAAGGTATTATTTTAGTTAATGGGGCCCCTACCTTGAATCTAGGAAATGGCTTTGCTGAAATTACAATTATATCATAATTTAAATAAATAAGATTTGGAGGTATTCTGGGTAGTTCCAAGTTTATAGGACAAAAATGTTTTTGTTACAATTAGGTCTTGAAGAAGAGTTCCCAGAAAAAACCACCAAATATCCACGATTAACCCTATGAAGTAGCTACTAGTACAATAAAAATCTGAAGTAAAAGGAAATATAATGCATAAACTATATGCATCTGTCTCCTTCATTCAACTGTCTGGAGAGTACTTGAGTTCCTCACTTGTCCACAGAACAAAAAAGAAAAAGATTGTGAAAACTTCTTTCTTTTTGTCTAGTAGTGGCTCTTTTGCAATATTTCATTAGGAGTCCAATTACTAATTAATATACAGCTATTGGCTCATCCGTGGATTTTATCTTTATCTTACTGTCCTAGTTCATGGACCATCAATTGTTGACTTACCAAGTTTAATTCTTTCATTGCTTGAGAAGAAAGGGATCAAAGGGCTATGTTTAGTAATGATAAACTTAAGATCAAATGAAGACAGAGAGAGAATATATATACATATATCACTGCCAGGCCTGATAGGCAAAGCCTGCTTCTCCTTTTAATAGCAGCAATTAATAGTCAGGACCTTATTTATGACAACCTGACCTACCCATAACTCTCTGCTAGGCTAAGTAAAAGCCAGGCTCTGTTTCTCCCTGCATACAGATTCCCAAAAGGGACTTGGAGCGTGTCTTGAAACCTTGTCTTTAGTCAGTGCTTCCTACAAAACACAGACTTGTTTTGTAATCTTTCTCATGTTGAATCAGATCTGCTCACTGATTTGGATTTGGTTATGAGCTTGTATCCACTGTACTTCTCATGCTTTGTTCTCTTAAGCGAACCCTTAAGAATTGTGTCATTTTGTGTACACGTGTGAGGTTTGAAAAAACCACCTTGTGAGTTTTGCTCAAAATGTGGCCTAAATATCCATTGGCATGTCTAGATGAAAACTAAAAATAAAGATAATTTCTTTAAAATATCACAATATGAAAATATCCTGATTCTCACCAGGTAACGTGTTACCAGCCAACCAATAGGATTCAAGCAAAGGAACCCACTGCCCAGGAGAGGAAACATTCAAGGAAAGAACACAGATACAAACATGACCCACGGGCCCATCCCATTTGGCGGCTACAGAAATGCCCATGTTGATGATGGCTTCCCTTGCCTGTTACTGCAAAATGAGAGCCACCATTCAGCTCTACATTCCCCCCAGATTTCTGATATTGTTCTGACTCACATTTTTCAAACTCATATAGGAATGGGAATGAGGTATAATTTTTTTAGGTTTAAAAAACATAGCAGACTCAATGCAAGAATTATTTGTGAAAAAAATGTAGTCTCACATTTCAAAATTAGAGGCCATCAAGAACAATAGAGCATCTCAGATAGGACAACTGAGTGTTCTACATTGATCTAATGGTAGAGAAAAAGAACACCACCATGTTTCTCAGAAACACTCTTGTTTCTTTATGTATTTTCTCAGATTTATTTTATTCAGATTTGTGTTCAGATCTCACTGATTCCTAATGCCTTCCCCATGTTTGAATGCAAAGCCACTTTTTCATTTGGAGATGTCCTATATCATAAAGACAAAGTCCAAAGGAGACCTCAATAGTATTTCAAGTAAAGTTCACACACAGCTTTCAAATACACGTGGGAACCTAACTGAAGCATTGTCAAATAGGCCAAGCCTACATGAGCAGCTAAATCTCCATTAAACAAATACTGATTAAGGACCTACTATGTGCCAGATGCTGTGCTAGATATTGGACATGAAAAGACCCAGTCCCAGCCAGGCACGGTGGCTCAAGCCTATAATCTCAGCACTTTGGGAGGCCGAGATGAGAGGATCCCCTGAGCCCACGGGTTCCAGACCCGCCTGGGCAACTTGGCGAGACCTCATCTCTACAATAAGCCAACAAAAGCAAAAAAAAAAAGCCAAGCGTGGTGGCATACATTTATAGTTCCAGCTGCTTGGACGACTGAGGCGGAAGGATTGCCTGAGCCTAGCAGGTAGAGGCTGTGGTGGCCATGAGTGTGCCACTGCATTCCAGCCTGGGTGATAGAGTGAGACTCTAAAAAATAAAAAAATTTAAAAATATAAAAAAGGAAGAAAAGATCCAGTCCCTCCAGGTGCATTCAGACCTGTGCCAGAAACTGGCATTACCAGTGAGCACTTCCTAGAGAATTCATGAAACATCTGTGATTGCTCAAATGCAGCTACAGCTCCCTCCTAGAGTACAACATCATAGAAAGCAGACACGCTTCCAAGATAGAAATGGCTCCCAATCCTGGTTCTATCACTAACTTATTCTGTGACTAAAGGGAAGTGACTAAAACCACTATAAAATCATTTTCAGACAATAATACTTTTTATAGTTTGTGGCAATTAAAAGAGATTGCATACCAAAAACACCAAGCAGGCTCTCTGGTATATGACAGACCTTCCACAGATAGACATTTTCTATTAAATTTACAAGAAACTTGACAAATAGTCATTCATACATGGGTAAGAATGGGGAGAATTTATGGGAAGATATATGTAGCAAAGAAGAGCAGGTGATTCCACATTAGGAAGTTAAACTGCTAATTAAACCAGATAAATTATTACAAAAAATTGTAAGGTTTAGCCGATATGGTTTGAAAATGCCTGATTTCCCTTGTCTCAGTCATGCAAGCAACAATGTGTCATTGATTCCATTGCCTGAAATTATAGTACTGCAAGAGCTGGTTTAATCTTCAGTATTTTTCCCCGCTTTTAGGGTAACAATGCAGTAGGGTTTGAAAAGTATAGCTTTGGAGTCAGCCAGACTAGAATTTAAGTCCTTCATTATCATTGACTGTTTATCCCTAGGCAATTAATTTCATTTCTCTGAGTCTCCATCCCCTCATGTATAAAATGATAGTAACATCTACTGCCTGAAGTGGTTGTGAGGGCAAAACTAAGTAACATACATAAAACATAAAGCACAATTTCTTGCAGAAAAGGAGTACTCAACAGATGTAAATTTTTATATCATTTATAGAGAAGGTATCTGTAAAGTGGGAGTTGGAATGCATCATTTACTTCTGGTATGTGATGCCAATGTTTATGCAAATGAAAACACAAGACCAATTAATAGACATTGAGCATGATTATATCTACAGGTGGCCAAGCTGGTCATAAGATAATCCTTCTTTCTTTTTTTCTTTAAAAAGAAAAAAAGCTTAAAGAAAGAAGGCAGTGACCTTGGGGTACTAAAGAAACACTGATAAGACCAAGGACTAATAAGGGACTATTTCTTCTGATTTTAAAGTAAATACTTCACAGCTTAACCAGAGAAAACTAGTCTGGTTAGCCTAAGGCTTCTCTAAAGTTGACAAGAACACAAGCCTAGCTAAAGAGAAAGTTTAGTTAAAGAAGCAAAACTTGATAACCTGTCAAGTTATCATGAATCCCACTCAAATCTTACAAAGCCTACCCATCAAACTTCCCAGTAGCTCTGCCTCTTGTAATCTTTTCATCAGAGTTTTTCTGACCATTGACAGCAGAGGCAGAGGATTCCAGAGGGGTCTCTGCTAATAGATGGCCCTAAAATACACTCGGTTCTCTTCAACTAACATTTTCCAAGTTGCATAAAAATGTGTGTGTGCCAAAAGATGTTTGCTAAGTGTTCCCTGAAAAAGAGATAAAGAGCTTCATAGTCAAAGAAGTTTGAGAAACAGTGGATTAAACACAGAGGTTTTTCTCCTGCCTGCTTCTCAGAGCTCTCAAGGGCTCATGGATATCTCCAACAAGATATAGGCAACATCTTTTGTTTGGATTTAGTTTTGGTTTCATATTAGGAAACCTTCCTTAATGATCCCAACACAGAATGATCTCTCTAGTTATCATTCTACTGCCTTATTGTTAGTGATGATTAGTTATTTTGTATGAGTATTAATGAGGTATGTGTGTATGTTCTGCCCAGCTTGAGGTAGCATGTAACACAGTGGTTAATGTGCCCTGAGTTTGTGACTTGATTTTACCACCACTTAGTAGGAGTCTAACCTTGGGCAAAGTTCCAACTCTTCTGCACCTCAGCTTCTTCATCTGTAAAATGATGATTAAAAATATTACCTATTTCATGGGGTTTTTGAAAATCCAAAGAGTTCATACATATAAAGCACTTTGAACAATGCCTGGCATTTAGAAAGCACTCCTAAGTGTTGGCAAAAAAACACCATCTCACCACCCCCCCATGTGCCCCTCTCAAACCTGATTTGTAAGCTGCTTGATTACAAATTACAGGTACAGCTACCCTTTTTTTTTGATTCGGAGTCTTACTCCGTTGCCCAGGCTGGAGTGCAGTGCCACGCTCACGGCCACTGCAGCCTAAATCTGTTGAGCTCAGGTGATCCTTATACCTCAGCCTTCCAGGTAGTTGGAACCACAGGCATGCACCACCATACCCAGCTAATTTTTTTTTTTAATTGTAGAGATGAAGTCTCACCAAGTTGTCCAGACTAGTCTCAAATCCGTGGGCTCAGGCAATCCTCTCACCTCGGCCTCCCAAAGTGCTGGGATTATAGGCATGAGCCACCACGCCCAGCCAGCAATCCTTTTTTATGTGCTCCATGGGTTAGCTCAGAAGATACTGAATAAATACTTATTAAATGAAAGAATATATTTTTCATTGACAAATTAAAAATCATATCAGAATAATATACTAACATTTAAATCCAAACAAACGGAATCCAATTGTAACAATAAATGTCCCAATAATTCAAATGCAAATGCTGTTTTTCAAGTCCACAACTGCTTTGCAGTCTGGTAGAGTTTTAGTGTTTTGAGGCATATAGTTTAGGAAGATAGCATTTCTCCTCCCAGTTTATGAGCATACTCTTGAGTGGCAACGGTAGGAATGACTTCCCTGAAGGACTTGACATCCAAAGATCTCTAGGTTTTTCTCCATCCTACTGGAAAAGAAATACCACTAAATTGCTTCCTTTTCGGGGCTGATCCAAGTCCCCTTTTGCGATGTACAATCCAAGAAAAGACAGAGACAAACCCAATGCTCGTCTTTCAAAAAGAACACGAAGTAGCAATGACTGTCTTATTTTATCCCTGTTAAAAGCACTTCAGATTACACGTAACCTCCTCCTACTCTTCTTCCCAGTAAGCAATTATATGTGCATTTTAAAAGTTGTCAGTAAAGTAAGCCTAATGGACCAAAATGCAGGATTACTTTTGGGGGTTATTTATTTCTTCCTACTTCCCACTGCTGTAATTTAGTGTGGAACTTTTTTAACAGAAGAGTCAGACTTCACATTTCAATGGATTTTCATTTCCTCAGAAACATCTGTCTCAGTCTACATTTGAAGAAAAATAACTTATAAGTGAAAACAAAAGACCTTTAGTGTTACATAATAGCATACGTGAGAATTATATTCTACAAATGCACATTTTAAAGCATTAGCCTTGCTAAGACAAGGACAACAAAAACTTCTCATCTTTCAATACTTGGGTTCTGTAACATGCTCTGAACTATTACTTAGATATCTCTACTGACTTTAGTTATTAAAATGTGTTATCTTATGAATAGCTTATCAAAATATTATTTTATATCTGAATTTTTTTAACTTAAACTCGAATGGAAAGTTTTTGCTTTCACTCTCATCAACTTTTTTTTTTTAACAGTGACTTTCTAGTTCTTAAGCATGATTTAGTGACTGTTCAGTCCCACCACAAACCTGCAAAAGTGACAGGCAGCCAGACTTTGGCCCCAACAACTGGCCCTACAGTGATTGTCTAATCACAGTACAGACAGTGGAGTCCCCAGGGCACCCATGCCAGCCTCTGAGTGGGACGAACTGAGAAGAGCCTTCAGTGGGGTAGGCAGGCCATGGTGCAAGCAAGGGTTATGTGCCACAGTCTCATTCTGCTGAGTGTTTGAGAAGGTACAAGTATCATGGAAAAGGGCCTGGGAACTGTGGGAGTGAGAAGGGGGAACCTGAC